ACTGTTTGTGCTTTCAAATTTTAAGACAGATTTACCAACTAAAGCTGGTTTATATAAAAACCAGATCTGTGTACTGATCTGGAGCTACTTTAACAAGTAGTGATCTGCTTTAAAAAACTACAGCTAGACTACTCCAAAAAGTATAAATCAGTTTTCTAGCAAAGACATCCAGTGTGAGTACTGCATTTTCAAATTTTAGGGTACTTTGCAAAAGAGCTGGCTGGAGGTGAGAGGATCACCTCATACAACTAAAGCTTACAATCTACTCTAATATTTACATTTAGGCAGTTATGTGCATGCAACTTTATTTCTGGATTTTCGATTTACCTAAAAAGGAAGAAATTTTATCTTGTAAAAATAAAACAATGACCAGTGAGATAGAAAAGACTGATGGAAATATTCCCTTGTAAATGTGAGAGCTAGCCAGGCAATGATCAAGATGACTAAGCAACCTCAGGGATGTATGACTCAGTAGGCTAATGCAAGATTATTAGCTTCATGACATACATCTTAGCCATCTTCAGAAAGGATTCATTGTTTTGGAAAAGTAGGGGACTCACAAATGGCATGAAACACTGATTTTATTTGATAAAAATTCAATTTTTTCCTTTGACAAAGCCATGTTAACTGTGTCAGGGTCAATTTCACATCAGTTCTGCCAATGAGTGAGACCATCATTTGCACATACGCCCCCAACCTAGTATCTATTAAAGCAGCTATTAATTAAATCCAATGCCTGTGAATGGCCATCTATGTAATGGGATTTAGTAAAAGTCCTAAGGAAACCAACACATATTGAGAAATGAAGTTTTAATTAGGAATGTATAATCTCTTTAAGCAGAATAGTGTGATGATGATTTCATATCAGGCAGGTTCCAGAGTCTTATCAATAATAATCTGTTGTTAATTTACCCCAAGTAGCTACTATTCAAAGTCATTCTGCTATGATTTGCTTTGTGTTTTTTTTTTTTTTTTTTTTTTTTTTTTTTTTGCGGTACGCGGGCCTCTCACTGTTGTGGCCTCTCCTGTTGTGGAGCACAGGCTCCGGACGCGCAGGCTCAGCGGCCATAGCTCACGGGCCTAGCTGCTCCGCGGCACGTGGGATCTTCCCGAACCAGGGCACGAACCCGTGTCCCCTGCATCGGCAGGCGGACTCTCAACCACTGTGCCGCCAGGGAAGCCCTGCTTTGTGTATTTTAACTTCCCCTGGGTCCATTTATATATTCTTTCTTCAGATTTATTACATTTATCCATAAAAACCAACATCCTCTTCTTCCCTTTTACTGGACAGTAAACAGTTTCTTTCTTTATCTGGGTAAAAAGAGATTCCATTAAGGTGGTCAGAGAGAGTGAGAGGTTTCAGGTCTAGCATGACTCCACATTTACACAAGGTGATTAAATTAAAAATGGACCCTGAAAATAATTTTAAAAACTTGACTTAAAAACTTTAAGATTTCAAATTAATATCTGTCAAGGACATTAGGCTTTGGGACTTAAAAGGCACATGTAGTAGGTTAGCTAGCTGTATACTCTGCATTAGGACACAATCTACTGTAACTATTTTGTCATTAGAGCTCAAGCTCTTGGATGGTTGACAGCTAGAAATCTACTGATTTGCTGCACTAAGATCCTGGACAGTGCACTTATGTGACCTCCTCCCCACTGTTGGGCTGGGTCTCTGGAAACATCAATTCTGGGAGAACAGTTGTTCAAAACAGCTGTCTTGAGAAGTAAAAAAAAAAAAAAAAGACTTTTTACTAATGAAGCAAATGTTAATGTTAATACTGAACTTGAAGATCCAAACTGTAGCTCATGGGTTACCTCAGCAACTTCTGCTTCAGCAGTCAAAAGACTATTATTATGATCAAACAACTGCAGTTATTAAGATAACTGTTAAATGAACTATGCCTGTACTATTAAACCATGTTCATGAATAACTTCTAACCAACTCTCAAACTACACTTTTCCTCATTTCTGTAAACAGGCTGCGTGATCCTTAAAGGCATAAAATGTTATCTTCAGTTACAATGGTATCCTCTAAACCAGTCTTTCTTAGTATGATCTTGGGACCCCCTGGGGCTTCTCAAGACACTTTCGCGGGTCCACAACGGCAAAACTATTTTCATAATATTAAGAGATTATTTGTCTTTTTCCACTCTTATTCTCTCACAAGGGTAAGGTGGGATTTTCCAGAGCTTACATTAACACTTAATGTGTCTACTATTAAAAAAAAAAAAAAAAAGAATAGGTATTTTAACAATTTATCAGTTCTAATTTAATATGGTAAATATCAATCAATACAACTCATACAACACAAGCTTTTTAGGGTCCTCAATAATTTTTTAAGGTGGAAAGAGGTCCTGGGACCAAAAAGTTTGAGAACCACTGCTCTGAACAAAATAGTGCAGGACTGCCTGTATGAAGAGCCCAATAAATGCTTGTCATGTCTTCATATATTACAGTGATTTTACTTCAGATAATCTCTGTACTTGAAATCAGTCAGTTAATTTAGTACCCACTGGATATACTACAGTGTACATGACCATTAACTACCTTCTTCTGAAGATCCAGGGTCATTTAAAACCGGAATTGTGATTTAAAAACTATTTCATAGGACTTGTTTGAGTTATACTTTAAAATACAGAAAGATATACCTCTAATGTAGAAAGAGATACCTTAATGTACACTAAAAAAAGTTTTCAATCACTTTATTACTTTTTTGGGGTAAAGTTTTACTTCAACCATAACCAGAGTTAGCAGAAGATATAAAACTGAAATACGACTGCAATTTGTATGTTCCTTAAAATAAAAGTAGAAAATGATGTGACATGATTTTTTAATATTATACCAGGAAAACAATATGATTCTGTTTCTATAGTAAAGTGTACTGTTTTGGACATAATAACCACAAATTATAAAGGCTTGCCAAACAGGTCTACAGAAACACAAGGAAAATCTGTCCAAGTTTGCTTTCCTTTCTTGTTAATGTCTAAGCTACAGAGTTCATTTGTAAATAGTAATCAAGATAACATCTTTTTGAGGGAAGGTTATTGCCTAGGGCTTCAAAGTTCTAAATTAAAGTATGCTAATTTTAGAAGATAAAATACTGCTTAGTAAACACCCTGTCTCTTATGGATTAATACACTCAACTGGATGGCATGTTCCAACCCTTTGGACTGCTAAAAGAAAACTTCTTGAAAGAAAAGACAACTTTAAGGAACTGAAACACTAATACCATAGCACACTCATCAACGGACAAACTCCATCTTTAAGTATTAATGTAAGCAGTAAGTTGAAACCCTATCTGCAAGGGATATGAAATTGGTTTTGTTAGGAATGCATTATTCATGTGGAGAGCTTCCTAAAGATTTAGGTATGCTTTGGAAAAATCTTTGGATGCACTTTGGTTTTACTGAATGTTTTGGCTGAAGCTCAGTGAAATGGAAAAGATTTTCGTTGTATTCCATACACAGCTGATATCTATGTGTAAACATTAAGCTCACCAGAATGTATCTGTCGAAGACCTTACTAAAATCTTTAGATACTGGAAGTAGACATGTATCAGCAAGTATCAAGAGAACCCAACACAAAGAGTTCTCAAAAATACATAGCTGAAATCTGTCATTAATTTTGTTTTTGATGTAGTATAAAATCCATTATTCAATGACTAGCAAAGCAGAAAATAAAATCAACAATGTCAGTATGTTTTTCAGTAATGCAATGCAAGGTGATGCTAATGTGGCAGATTTTCAATCAAATCTGAAGGTCTATATAGATCAATAGTTATATCCCATCTTCTTTATTATGGTTATGCCTTCTGGTCATGGCACAAATAATTTAGTTGGTCTTTGAAAAATTTATTCAGGCTTTGGACATGATCAGTATAGCAGCACTAAAGTAATACTTGACATAATTCCACTTTCTGGGACAAGCAACTAAGATGTGGCTAACTGAAGAAACGGCAAGCAGGATGGATAGGATTGGGAACTAAAACCATGACTGAGGCCATCAACTCACCACTGTTGATGGGAGGTATGGTAATTGTAGCAATACAACTAATTATTTTATGCTCCTAGTTGCCGAGCCATCAGTGAAAAACGGTCAGCATAATGACTTCCAGAATGGACAGCAGGCATGTTTGAGTCCCTTCCTGTGTGAGTTATGCATGTGGCACTACACAGATTAGAGTAGGGCACAGGACAAGGGGTGAGGAAAAGAGCAAAGCAAAGATGCAAATAATCTATAAAATAAAATAAATAATGCACCTGACGTAGTAGAGCTATGGATTACTAGCTACTAGAGAAAGCAGACCATCTGTTAAGACTATCACAGACAGTTTGGTTCACTTGAACAAACAAGAGGCACAAGCAGAGATACCAATAACAGGCCTCTCAACTAGACTGTGGTTATAACAAAATGAAAAGTCTTCAAAAACATCAGGTTCCTGACTGCAGAAGCATGTAGCATGCACAAAGGGTGTAAAGAAACAGGTGTCTGAATGGGAAAAGGATAAGTTGTTTAGATGTTGCCAGGACAGGACTAGAAGCACTAAAATTCTAAGAAAATAAAAGTACTGTATGTCACTAGAAATGGCCACTAGAATGTAAATGAAACGCATTCTCTAGTGAAACAAATTAGTAGCATCAAGTTCAACTGCAACAGGGCTAGGGCTGAAATTGGTCAACAATTACTTCTAAAACCCAGGACCTTAAAAAGGTTATTTCCCCCATCAACCCCAGCCCTTTCCACTTGTTTTCTTTCAGAATTTCAAGGAATCAATGCTTCCAACTGTTGGTAATTACATTGCCTTTCTATGATGATGAGTACAATGTATTTGTGTTCATCTTTCTCTCTAGATTCAGCAGAAATGAACTGGTTACTTGCTCACTTAAGGGAGGCTTAAATAGGTGTGGAAATTGGAAACAAAGGAACTTTTTGCCTACTGCCCATTTCCATTTTCCCCTGGGCATCCCCATGCAAAGCCCTCTCGTGGTTCTAACCTCTTAAATCCTGTTGTGTGCGAGCACCGGCCATGCTCTGTCTTGGCATTCGAAGAGAAGTTCTCAAAGGTGTATGTCTCTGCTCATCCAGGTAAGCGAGGTCCTCCAAGTGGGTGGAGCTTGTGGCTGATAAGACAGAAGAGTTTAGTCAGAATACCTAAGTTTAGAAAACTGTCAGTTAGTCTGTATCTTCAGACTTCAGAATCAGAGCAGATACATTTACTGAGAATTTGCTCAACTCAAAGTCCCCATCAGTGTCTGGAACATGTGCCAGGAAAACATGTCAAGAGTTGTCTGCGGCTCCTTCACTACTATCAAATGCCTGAGCTTATAGAGAATACTAGCAACAAGTTGGCAAACACATTAGTACCCGACAACAAAGATTATTAGTTTTTGCTTCTTTTGGGTCACAAATCCCATTTGTATAAACATCAGTGGAGAAATCTGTTCCAAATTATATTAAGCTATAAAAGAACCATGAAGCTCTATTTTCAACATTTCCCATTCACGGTAAAGAATGAAATATGAAAACATCCTAAAAACAATTTTCACATGTGTGTATATATATGTATATAATGGAAAGGCGGGCATCTGGGACAATGGACAGAGAATTGCCAAATAGCATTTAGGGAACTGCCAATGTCCATGAATTCCAAAGAACGTGTTGTTGCTCTCTGAAGATGAAAGTCAAGTAACAGTGGTTTCCCACTGCACCTATAAATCCTTTAACCCCTAACCTAGCCATGAAAGAGAAAGAGAAAATGGCAGAAGATGGGGGTAAAACGGCACTGCTACATACGGAGAGCTATTGAGTCCAAGAATCAGGAAGTGCTGAAGACAAAAAGCTTTTAACAGAAAAGAAAAAAAACCCCAAACTTCCATCAGAAAATGGATATTTAGAGCTCATACGTGATTAATTAAACCGTTAATTCAATCTGCTGCCAACTATGTAAGATACTGTGCTGGGGGTTAGTTCAGTAATTCCATGACAATTATTTACTGAGAGACTCCTGTGTGCCAGGCTCTGTTCTTGGTGCCCTTGCTGGTTTCACTGCTAGTCTACCTCTGTGACATTATGGAGTGGGTGAAAGGAAGCAAACTGAGATCACTCTTGGCTGCTGAGCTCCAGTGAAGCAATGTCCACATCCTTAGTCAAGGTAAGACATAACAATAACAAAAAGAGGGCTATGATAAATGGCACAGTCAGTTACAAAGTGCTCCATGAGCTGAAAAAGAGAGAGAAAAGATGGAGAAAATCGAAGAGAGGGAGAGGAAGAGAGAAAAGAATAAGAACAAGTGCAAGAGACGTATATTCCCCTTACCCTTCAATTACCGCAACTGTCTTATTTACCTGGATCTACTGGAAACCCACACAAAAGGAATTTATCCAAATTATACATATAGTTTCTATAAGGAAATAAAAGTCTTTGAAAGCTAGTCCAGGGAACTTAAACCAAGAAAGGGAAGCCAAATGACACATGACACACCAGAGAGAGGAAGAGAATAAATATCAGAAGAATAAAAGATAATCTCGATTTCTGCATTCTGAAATTAAAACTATCCAGAATAGATAACTTTCTAATCTCTTATTTAAAAACCATGGGGGGCTTCCCTGGTGGCACAGTGGTTGGGGGTCCGCCTGCCGGTGCAGGGGGCGCGGGTTTGTGCCCTGGTCCGGGAGGATCCCACATGGCCCGTGGGCCGTGGCCGCTGGGCCTGCGCGTCCGGAGCCTGTGCTCTGTGGCGGGAGAGGCCGCGGCGGTGAGAGGCCCGCGTACCGCAAAAAAACAAAAACAAAAAAAAATAAAAATAAAAACCATGGGGACAATTACACCATCCCCACTGGTTCTAATTTGGTTCTGTGAATTAGTTCTTTCTTACGTTTCATACAATCCCTCCTGTTTTAACCAAAGTCTATTTTCTTTTGCTAGGTTCTTTATCCATATGTGTGTAGCTACCAAAAATAAAAGGTGGGGGGTGGGCAGCCCCCAGAAGTCCTGTCCCCACAGAGCCCTCCTTGGAGCTCAGAAATATTTAGTATCATCTGAGCATGGCCCCTTCACAGAGATGTTTGTTTCAGCTTTGTGGGGCCTCTCCCCCAAGCTTCTATGGTTTAATCATCCCAACCTCTTCTCGTTTACAGGCTCAGAAGTGGTAGCTGTTTCCTGAAGTTGCTAAGTCCATGATATCTCAGTGTTCTCTTTTACCTTTCCAGTTCTTTGAAACCTAGTTAACAATTCTTTATATATAACATCTTCTGTTAAAATATCTGTGTGGTTTCTGTCTCCTGGCTAGCCCCTGGCTGAGATAGCATGGAAAATAACTGAAGGAGCAATTCTTTTACTATGTGATGTTGATAATAAAGCAATATCACAGAATGCAGATGTAAAAGATGTTTTAAAGGCCATCTAGACTGGAGGTCAGCAAACTATGGCCTGTGGATGAAATCTGGCCTGTCGCATAACGTTTTACTGGAACACAGCCTTGCCTCTTTGTTTAAATAGCTGTTTACCATAGAGCTGAATAGTTTCGACACAGACCGTATGGCCTGCAAAGCCTAAAATACTAGCTGACCACGATCTAGTCAGATCTCCTCCTTTCACAGTTTAGGAGACAGTGAAGTCATTTATCTACAGTAACTCACTTATTCACTGGAGAGCCAGGCCTGGAAACCAGCTATCTTACCTCTCAATCCAGTGAGCACTATTTGCGTTGTACCCTCCTCTCCTTTTAAACCTAAACAAAACTAATTCTTTCTTAAAAAGCTTATTTTTCATTTCTTCTTCATCTTTGTCACTTTCCCTCAATTCTCTGCTTTTTATGGTTTCAAAGAGCAGTGATCAAACTTGGGCAATAAAGGCCTTGCCAATGCATAGTAAGGTGCCCTGCATTTATTGGTCACAGACCAATAAATCTCTGCACTTCAAAATTTTCTGCAGTAAGAAACAAAAGAACAAACAAAAGTCCAAATTTGTTGTTTTTTTAATAAGAAAAATACTTATAAGGTACTTTTTTGGCTGATAAACTGAAGAGTAATGTGAAAAGACCAATGACAATGAGAATTTTTTATGTTCTTTTATTCACATTAAAACAAAATTCAAATAAAAACTGTAACAGCTGGATGAGTGATAGAAATTTCTGGTTATTATTATGGCAATATTCATGGTACATTATATGATTTTAAAGCAAGGTTCTAGCAGGGTACTTTTACTAAAATGGTTTTATATGCTAACATACTAAGATGGTTTGATATGTTTTACTAAAAAGAGAATATATGTTTCATTAACAGTAGGCAGAACGATATAGAAATACACAACATGAAGTGGAGCAAAAAGCTTTGTTAAAAAAAGAAGCCTAAAGTCTTTCCTTTTCATACGTTACATCCATCTATGAATCTTTTAAAGATTAAACTATGGTAGATCTATACTTGGAGTATAGATTTAAATTAAATAACAGTTACATAATCCATTTTAATTTCTTTGTATTAAAAAAATCTTCTGGCACAGCCTTCGTTTCACAGGTTCAACTTCTTATATTAAATGAAGAGCTACTGACAGTTTTTATAAAATGTAAACGTTTACTGTGAACGTAACAAGTTTTACTAAACTAAGCTTTACCATAGTATTCCTAGAAAAATGAACATCAGTTGTTCTATTGTTTTTTTTTCACAAAACCAAGAAATGTAGTAAAATATATTTTGGAATCAGCACATTTCTCAATTCAGATAAATGACATTAGAAGAAAAAGAAAAAATATTGCAATAACCGAACTGAAAAACAGTTCATTCCTTTACAAGTCCAAATACTCACAGGCAAATTGAACTAAGGAAAAGCAGAGATATTCAATATCAAGCACTATAGCTCTGAACCAGCCAATGGGGAACTACCGCTTTATTCTAGACTGCAATTGAGTTATGGTTAGTGTTACCTAAGTCTCTTAAAACATTCATTCTTTTTCTTATTTTGGCAGTAATATCTTTTTCTCTGATCTCTGAATCTATCACTATTTTATCAAATGATCCAAAATAATTTCTTTACTGCCTCTTTTCCTTATTAAATTGTTTTCCTTAGTCTTATTTTCAGTTTCTTTCTGCTTCATCATTTTCAAAATTCTTGTCCCTTCAAATACAGTATTTAAAGACTTAGCAAACAAATACTGGAAAGATCAGCCAGGAGATCTGAAATTCTATGCGCTGTGGCCTTTGTTTCACTAATTGTACATAGTTGTACTCTCCAGTGTAGTCACATGAATCTTTTCTATTTGCAAGCCAATTTCTGAGAAAAAGTCTTTGTCACACTTTGCCAAACATCTCATTCATTGTCAAAATTTGCTCAGGCTACACTTTTTCTCCTTCCCTGATAGATCCCCCAGGCAGAATTAATTGTTTCTCCCTTTCAGCAACCACATACATATATGGCTAATTAGAACTTGTGTTATTCAGCTAATTGTTTACATGTCTGTCTTCCCTTACTAGATTATGGTAGGTTCTTGAGGGCAACTAGGAAATGTCTGATTTATCTTTGATAACTACATTCCTTCAGAGTAAATCAGAGCGCCCTGCACATAATGCTCAATACAGAACTAAATTCTAGGCTAGTCCTACTTAGATTTAGAAATCTGTCTGGCTCTATCCTCACCTTCCTCATTGCTCTGCTTAATGTTTAACAGACATCACTATGGTAATATGCTTGGCTCCAATGATGTTCATAAAATCTTTCTTCAGGTACTGCTGATCCTTTACTTTTTTCTATAACACATATCACTTTCTGTTGTATTGAATACTATATAAATTACTTATTTATTCTGTTTATTTTACCTTCCCTGGTGAGAATGTAAGTTCCACGAGGGTGAGAATCTTTATTTTGTTTATTGATGATTCTCAAGTGCTTAGAAGAGTGCCTGGCATATATAGCATATGCTCAATAAGTGCTATTCTAATGACTAAATAATTGTATTTAACATACACATTGTGTTTTGCCTATATTTAAACAATCAATGAATAACAAATAAGTTTTTGTCTCACTGGGTTATCTGAAAGCTAAGGATGAAGGAGGTGGCTATAACAACAATGCCTTGTACATCATCATCCCATAAAAACACCAGTGATAGATCTATAGGGACACATA